AACATTGCATTCATTTAAACTTAATAAAAACTTATTATATATTTCTTAGATTGTTTTTGTGTGATTCCGCTTAGTTTAATCAACATGGAACAAGTTTTATACAAATAAAATGTAAGATTCAATAAAAGTGACAAATATAAGCTTTCTAATTAAAAAATTATCAAATAAGCAATATCATACAATTAATCAATCCAATTACAAAGATTTTATTAAATATTTATAACAAAGATGTTAAAATAGTTTTCATATTTAATAATACAAATAATATAATTATATAGTTTTTAAATGCACTAAGATTAATTTTTTAAACTTTACTTATTAAAAATGTTAAAATATATTAATTTTGCAAATTATGTTTTGTTAAAATGTTATTCTGCGTTTTTAAGGAATCTATGGTAGAATTAAAGTCTTAAATAGCTAGGTCTGAGTTCTTAAAAGGGTTATGGTAGAAGTGTAACAATTGTGGTATTAGTAAATGCTTAAAAGAATTGATTTGGTTACCTATGTCATCAAAGTTGACTTATATTTTCTATCACACATCCGTTTAGAACTCTAGGGTTACGTGTGTTTGGGCTGTAGTCAAAAGATGGATGATCTATCGGGAAGTAATTCGTAATACCGTGTAAGTGAGATCAAAGCATGGGAAAATGTCGGGTGGTGATTGCAGAGTTAGTAAACATGACTTTCGGGACATGGAAAAATTAACGCATTGCCCGTCGAATGGGATGGAGTTCATGGGTGTGGATTCTCCATTAGCCATGGGCGGGTGGGATGTTACAAGTGGTATCTGAGCCGAACCTCGATGAGTGTGGAGTCAATGAAGGCTCACACTAACAATGGTAATGATCTTGGGACGCAACAGGGACGTTGTGTTATTCGAGAGGAGGTGAATTGTAACATCCTGGTGGTATTTGGAAAGATTTAAGAAAATTGATTTGGCTACCTATGTCATCAAAGTTGATTTACCTTTTACGTCATACATCCGTTTAGAACTCTAAAGTTAAGTGTGTTTGGACTGGAGTAGTGAAAGGAAGGTTGACTGATACCGTGCGAGTGAAACGAAAACACGGGAAAATGTCGGAGGGTAATTGTAGGGTCAGTAAACAAGACTTTCAGGCCTTGGAAAAATTAACGGACCGTTCGTCGGATGAGATAGGATATACAGATCGAGAGAGCGGGTATGGATGGCCTATTCATCGTGGGCGGTGGGGTGAAGGTGCACAAAAAAGGGTTATGGTAGAAGCAACAATTTCTATGTAGCAGACTCAATATATCAAAATAAAAAGGATTCAACATATCACATAGTGACACAACAGTTTCAATGTGTTTAGTGGTTGCCGGGAGAGTGAGTTTTTATGAAGTTGTGAGATCGTGCACGTAGGGTACTCATTCGTGCTTCCATGCAAAACTGGTAAGTAAACAAAGATCTACTTCTTTCTTCGAAAATTTGAGATCTACGTTATACGCGACGTTTGCTTCTTCTTAATTATCTTGTGTGGGTTGTATGTATCTTTTATCTTTCTTGTAAGAGCTTGAGATTGTTTAAGAAAACCTAACTCGTGAATAAATAGGTGTCAGCATTCGCCATCATGCGAGATTGTGTAGCACTCGAGAGCTGCCTTCTCTAAAAATTCGATCACTTCCAACCATTTAAGCTCAGGGACTTTGAAACAACTCATATCTTCACAAACTTTTACATATTACGGGTCACTCTTCTGAAAACTCCCCTTGAGTTCTTGCATAATCTTCCTTATATAAACAATATATTATATACATTATTAATGGGGGCACACTTATGGACACTCTACAACTGGCATGTAAATTGTAATGAGGCGGAAACCTGGTAGGTGGGGGAAATAGTGGACTATATGTGATGACCACGGCATAGGAGAGAGCTGGTGAGTTAAATCACTCTCAAACACCAACAGCTCCGATAAGCCTTTGGATGTGTCAAGTTGATGCTTCATGCATGGAGTCAAGCGACGGAATGGGTATGGGTCTTGTCTTGTTTGAGCGCGGTACGGAAGTCATCTCGGCCGCAAACACCATCTCCTCTACACACGGAGGCAGAAAGCCCATGTTGGGCGATGGAGGAGGTGCAAAACCGTGGACTGCAACAAGCGAGCTTTGAGATAGACTGTCAACAGCTAGTGCAAATCATTCAATTAGCAAAACAAAGGCTTACGCTCAGGGCCGGCCCTGGGCTAAAGCCCGTAAAGTTTGGGCTTTAGGCGCCACAGATAATTAGTAGTTTAGGGGCACCAAAGTTACAAAGTTACACTTTAGCCTAGCATTTGTAAGCTTGCTGCTTGATCCCTACTATGACGGGTTCGAGTCCACCTAACCTTGTTTTTTGATAATAATAGCTTTTTTTCACTTTCCAAGAATAACACCTAAAGATTTATTCCTTAACAAATAGGGATGACTTGGGTTTATGATCCAACTGTCCTAATTTCTTTATTATGAAGAGAATAATATGATATTGATAAATAGTTTAGTAAAAACAACTAATGATTTCTTTTGTTTTATTAAAATGATTTACTTGTTCTTTTTTTTTTCTCTCTCAATTGCTAAAATATCTATATGAATAAGGGATATTATAAAAATTAATTTGAATTACCAATTGCTCATATGCCACTGTTTCATAGTACTTTATTTTTAGCTCAACGGAAATTTTATGCAAACCTTTTTATTTCTTTTTTTCCTTTTGTAAGTTTTTGTACGTTTTTGTAATTTTCTTAGAGACTTTTGAAATTAACAAAAGTTAGAACTATCATTGGGATTCAACATTTCTGAAACTTTGTGAAAACATAAAAATTGGAAAGTTGATGTTAGTGTATTTTATTATATGTTTTGTTCTATCTATAAATTTTATTTTTGTATTCTTTTTAAAAAAAAATTGTAAAAAAGTGCTACTAAAATACCAAGTAAACTGTGAATAGGAAAAAAACAGATAAGATGCTGCAAATAATATTTTGATGTTTTGTATTTATTTTGTTGACAAATAACTAAGTTTTAATAATACAATTTACTATTTATTATTATATAATTAAAATACTGTAAATTTTAGATAAAAAAAGGGGCAGCAATTTTTTCTTCCGCTTTAGGCGCCGGAAAAGTCCGGACCGGCACTGCCTACGCTTGACCCTGAGCTAGATGATTTGGTTCTTCGATCCTCTTTTGATGTTTTCCCCTTATTTACATCTCTTGATTTTTAGATGTCTGTGCGGATTGTTTTGCCAAAGACGTATCACGAGAAGGAAACTACTCTTTAGTAGAGGTTAAGGCTTCCTTAAGGTTAGCCCAAGCGGCTAGCATGTATGAACTTGAGTTTAAATAAATTTTTTGGATGACAAAAGAAATGGGGTACACTTATTGATGTAATTAGATAAAATTGGTGAAACGAGAACTCGAATAATATAGTTGAACTTGAATTGATATATCGCTTCGTTTTTAAAATGCTACAAGAGTTTTTACCCGCACGTATATTTTTCATTTTTAAAAAAAGAAATTTAATATTAATGTAAATGTTTTAAATACATAATTTATATTTTTATGTTATATATTGTGTAAATTTATAATCTAATTGGTGTAGGTTTTTATTCAACATTATTAATATATAATATACTTTAATTTTTTACTTTGTTATTCAACATTTATAATATAAAATGTGTTTTATATTTTTATATTTTCTCAACATATTATTTTATAATAAAAATATTAAATTTTCAGTTAAAAATATTTTTCACTAATATCTTCTGAATTAGTAAAACTTTCTGATATCCTATCCTTTTAAATAACACATGAACTAAAAGTTAGTTATAAACTATTATATTTTTTATATAATCATTTTATGTGTGTTTTAAATTAAGTAAAAAATAAGATATAGTAAAAATTTAACATTATGCTAACATTTTTGTATAAAATATATATATATAATTTATGATGTTAGTCTTTCTAATGGTGAATAATTTTTTTTATTTAAGTGAAATAATTTTTTTTTAAAGTTTCATATACCAAATTTATTTATTTTATTTAATTCATAGTGCAATTCTGTTTTTATAAAATAGTATAGGAATCTTTTTTGTTATTATAGTGAAATTTTAATTAATATTAATGTATAATAGTATGATATTATTAATTACGAAATTCATTATTATGTTATTTAATAAAAAAAATATTTAAAATTTTAGTAAGATTTGTTCGATTTTCTCTCAACCGATTTTGTTATAAATAAAAATAAAATATAAATCTGTTATTTTCAGAATATATGATATATATTTGATTGATTAACCTAAATAATTTAATATGTCATATTAAGTAATTAATGAAATGGTCCTATATATGACTTTTTGTAGTAGATAAAAATAGTGACTCTATTTTAATAGAGTAGATATTTTTTTAAAAAAAAAAAACTTTCCTTTACCAACTTTATTTATTTTATTTTATTCATAGTGCAATTCTATTTTAATATAACATAAACTATAATATGAAATTTATAAAATAGTAGAGGATTCTTTTTTTATGTTATTATAGTGAAATTTTAATTAATATTAATGTATATTAGTATGATATCATTAATTACAAAATTCATTATTATGTTATTTAATAAAAAAAATATTTAAAATTTTAGTAAGATTTTGTTAGATTTTCTCTCAACCGATTATGTTATAACTAAAAATAAAATATAAATCTATAATTTTCAGAATATATGATATATATTTGATTGATTAACATAAATAATTTAACATGTCATACTAAGTAATTAATAATCTGGTCCTATATATGACTTCTTTGTAGTAGATAAAAATAATGACTCTATTTTAATAGAGTAGATACAATAAAAATGCTTTGTTATTATTTATACCACGACATCCATTAGTAGAATAATATTATATTTGAAAATCTAACTTCCATCCCCACTTAATATTATTTATTTTTTAAAAGTTTGATTACTCTCTTCTTTTTCCATGTATCAAATTTTCCATATCATCATTTGCTCATGCCCACCACTTCGCTGGTGCAGCTGGCTTAGCCGCTGGTGCAGCTGGCTTAGCTGGTGCAGCTGGCTTAGCTGCTGGTGCAGCTGGCTTAGCCGCTGGTGCGGCTGGCTTAGCCGCTGGTGCGGCTGCCGGGGCGGCTGCTGGTGCGGCTGCCGGCGCGGCTGCTGGAGCTGCAGCACCTTCGGCGCCAGGTATTATCTTTTTCAAGATTTTTGGTAGGAATGCGGGTGGTTCCTTGCCCGTTGCTCGCCTACACAGAAATGAATACGTCTGGTTATCAAAAGTCATGGTATCAGTTCTTAATAGTTACGGTTCAAACATGTCACTACCAACCAACTTAATAGTTTGTAAGTATATAAACATATTCAACCATACAGCTAGACAAATAGATATTATATATATATATATATATATATATATATATATATATATATTTTTTATTTATTTTTTTATATTGCCCATGGTAAATGCGCTAGAGTAACGAATGGATGAAATGTAATTTGCTTTTTTCATAACTATCAGAAAGGTGGGATTCAAGGGGAATATCGATTCTTTATTCAATATAGTTATTCCTCTAAGAACACAATCACACCCTTAATTTGCGTATTCTATAGGAGGCAGTCAAAATCATCAACTGATGCGTTAATTAATCCCTCTCCTCATTCTCCCACCTGATATATATACTTTAAATTTTTATAAATTTAGTAAATAAATTCCATTAGAGTAACGAATTTTCTAAAGTATATGTATGCGTATATAATAATATATTATGTTAGTGTTAAATACTTGTAGAGCCACAGGATGATGGTGACAGCCGTCGCACCGGCGCCACCGGCGGCTGCTAAACCTGTAGTCAGTAAACCAGTGGTAATACCAGCTGGTACGAGAATCGGACTGAATACTATGAATAGTGGCATGGTAGCGATAAATGCGGCGGCTGTGCCGGCGAGGGATACACCGGCGAGCAACAAGAGGAATATTGCGGCTTGTGTAGCTAATATCGAAGTTAAAACACTTTTAAACGACGGTATCTGATTTCTTCTCTCGCGTTTTTTCTCGCGTTTTTTCTTCTTGTGCATCCCCATTTTTTACTAGTTTGAATGGCTAGTAGATTGTGGGAAGATTTTTTGGTCCGATGGTTGTGAGAATTTATGAAGAAGATATGGATTCATATACATAGAAAGTGGTGTGGTCTACGTGCACGGTACGTGTTTATATATACCCATGCGAAACGATGAGAGTGAACGTTGAGCTTTATACGTTACGTCAATGCCTTTTCTTTCCGTCTGTTGTTTCTTTTGTTGGGTTGTCACATTTTTTGCCTCTTTTTCGCTTTCTTGTAAAATAAGAGTGGACATTTCGGGTTTATTCACGTAAACCTAATGATATTCGGATCGTTTATGTTTGATTTAGTTTTAGAAGAAGTGCACCTGAATTTGACTTATAATTCTGTTTGGTGTGATTATAAATTGATTCTGTTTGGAAGAAATGTTGAAATCTCAAAGACAGATATTGATTTTGTTTAATGGTTGTGGTTAATTTGTTGGTGGGAAGAGAGGGGGTTATTGGTTATGTAGAAGTTTGTGGAAGTCTACCTCACGATACGGTACACATGTATGTTTCCAATAGTTTCCATGCAAAAGATGAGTACTAATTGGAGACACACGCCACATTTTTTTTTTACAACGAAACGGCTGATCTATTACTCAAGTTTGAGATGGTCTGGAAATCCAGACCAAAATAGAACAACTAACATTCACCAATTCTCGATAGAAACACTACAAAAAAACTAAACATTTACTAGGAAACTTTACTAGGAAAATACTTCCTCGTAAAATTACTACGAGTTTACTTCGAGTTTACGAGGAAACCATGTTTCCTCGTAAGGTTCTCATATACTTACGAGAAAACAGTTTCCTCGTAAAGTCGTAGTAACACTACTAGGATTTTACGAGGAAAAAAACGCGGGCATAGCTATTTCCTAGTAAAGCAGTTTCCTCGTAAAGTCCTAGTAATTGCTTACTACAAAATTAAGAGGAATGAGTTTTGTTACTACGAAATTAAGAGGAACTAGATAGAAAATACCGAATTTAAATTTTGTACCTACTTTTCCTAGCAATTTCTTAGTAAATTCTCAGATTCGAAAATTTCTATAAATACCACCATATGTGATTCATTTGAAACACACCAAACAAATACAAAATACTCAATTCATAACTGAAAGAAGTTCACAGTCAACATAATAGTTTCTTATCAACTCCTCATAGCTTTTCCTCAAAGAAATNGTTCGAGGAAAGCTATGTGGGGTTGATAAAAACCGTTCCGATGACTGTATACTTCTTTTAGTTTTTTTAAAAAAATTTGTGATTTGGGGTTTAGGAAGATGTATAGGTATAAGTTATGGAAGTTGGTTTAGGTTTAGGGTTTAGGTTTAAGGTTAGGGTTTAGGGAATTTAGATTAGGTGGTTAGTTTAGGGAACTTATGTTAGGTTGTTTAGTTTTGAAAATTTGGGATTTAGGTGTAGAAGAGGTTAGGAGTTTGGTTGTAGAAGAGGTTATAAGTTAAGGAAGTTGTGGTTTGGGGTTTGGGGTTTCGAGTTTAGTGATTTACAAACCATTTCCTCGTAAAGCCCTAGTAAGAGAAAACGCGGGAATAGTTGTTTCCTCGTAAAGTCCTAGTAATAACATTACTAGGACTTTACGAGGAAAAAAACGCGGGTATAGCTATTTCCTAGTAAAGCAGTTTCCTCGTAAAGTCCTAGTAATGGTATTACTAGGACTTTACGAGGAAATAAAAACACGGGCATAGCTATTTCCTCGTAAAGGCCTAGTAATGTTACTAGGGCCTTACGAGGAAACAAAATTCCTTATATAAACTCGAGCAATCCGATTTCTCATTTGTAGTAAGCTTCTCTCTGA